TTCTTCGTATTCGCGTTTAAAATTTGTTTACCTCACCAGTCAGTTACGCCATTCCTTAGTGGTGCACCCCCCACTAAGAAAAATCCTGGATCCGCCCCTGCGACACAGGACCAATGCATACATGTAGACATTTATTGTGATTTTAAAAGTTCTCGATCGGAGGAAACAAATAACAAGTGAAAGGGGATAAAAGTAGTAGGAGTGATGCAGCTAAGCATTAATGATGGCTTTGTAAATTGCAGGTCGGTGTCTTTTATCTTTGCAACTGGTGGCATGGCATTTCTACTCCTTTCATTCTGTTACTTGGTGATAGATGTGTTGGGCTGGTGGAATGGAGCGCCATTTTGTTACCCAGGTTGGTACTTATAATTTTTGCAAATGTATCATAAAAAATGTACAACAGAGTGCAGTCAGTTGTTGTTGTTGTTGTTGTTGTTGTTGTTGTTTTTTTCATCCAGGTTCTTACGAACAACACATTTGAATTGATTGCGTACATGTGTTATTTTGTAAACCAGAATTGTTCTTACATGCAGACTGTATGAAGTTGTTGTATTTTATTGTACAGTGCTCACTGAGACAGTCGAATCCCCCTAAACGTTCATTAGTTTCAGCTTTGCGTGGACAGCGGACGCATTTCCGCGCGATTGTGGTATGAGAATCACCAGGCCAGACACCATACGAAATGAATTTTCCTTTTTTTTCCTTGTTAATCATAGAATATTTTCTTTTCTTTCAGGAATGAATTCTATTTTAGTTTACGTTGGAAGTGAAATATTAGGGAATTACTTTCCATTCAGCTGGACAGTTAGCGGTCACATGCAACATGCTGATCTACTGGCAATGAACTTGGTTGGAACTACAGTCTGGCTCGTCATCTCTTACTACCTTTATTGTATCAAGTTCTTCGTGAAAATATAGATTATTGTAGCAATAACTAAGGGAAATTACTGAAGAGACTGCGGATAATATCTGGTTGAAGTGGCTCTCTAATAACTGTCCAGAGCCAAAGTTATAACACAACGCATTTTTACAGCCAATCAAAATTCAAATCAATTCATATTATCTGTGACAAGCGCGGGAAAATGTGTAGCGTGTGGAAAGCGCGGGAAAATATGTAGCGTGTGGCAAGCGCGGGAAAATACGTAGCCTATGGCAGGCGCGGGAAAGTGGTTTTTGGTTTTGCATCTGATTGGCTTTGACCTTTTGTAAGCCGTTTTATGAGAGGAATTTAAAGGCTTAGTAGACACAAAACCGAAGTCAGTGGGAAAAAAAAAAATACTATCGAAGAAAATGAAAATAGGCAGTTGCAATGTGACTACTCCAACCAAGGCCACCCGAGCAAACTCTTTGCAAATTGACCAATAAAGTGTTAAAGCAATAAGAATGCATGGTCACAATCGTTTTTTGTTCGGTAGTGTCTACCTTACTCATAGCGAGAATTTGTCGGAATGCTTTTGTTAACATCCAAGGTTTTCATTCAGCAATTTGAGCGTAACCCTTGGGTGGAATAGTCGCACTGGGATAGTATTTGAACTGAAGATATTCATAAATTTGTTCTCGCTTCATTTCTTTATAGATTTCGTAACATAATGCCAGGCCATATCACTTTTTGGTTTGGTTTAATATGATAAAGAAATACAATTATTTTTTGAGAATAAATTATGGTTTCTCTTTAGCCTAATAGTAGTGAATCGCAAGTATTGGCAAAGATTGACTCAGGGATAGGAGTTATTCTTTAGGAAATTAAAAGACCAAATTTTAGTCGTATATCCGAGGAGGATTTTCAGAAATAATACTTCAGGTAAACATTTTGTAGTTCCTGTTTTTGAAGGAAATGTATATAGATAATTAAACGTTTCTCAGAATGGAAGTGTATGCCAAGTATGTTCGATTTAAAGTTGGCTACATGTGTGCCAAAGTAGTGGAGAATAAATGTTCTCTGAACTGAATACCTCATTTTACTCGCCCTCAGTTTATTTCTCAGTTGTTTGTTTCTTTATCTGTTGTTTCGGAGGCAGCATGCCCGAGTGGTTAGGGCGCCGGACTTGAAATCCGCAGGTCTCGAGTTCAGGTCCTGCTCTTTCCACGTTTCTCGGTAGACTCCAGTTCAACTCCTCGGTCGTGCTTGTAATTGCCAACTGGTCTGCCTCCCCAAGTTGGTAATTTTAAGACTATCATATTTAGTAGATATATTTATTTATTTCAGTTTAGGTGGCATGCCTGTGAGCTAGCTAGGTGTAGCTAAGCGCATTGACCACCGTAAACAACACTTAAACATTTTTTTTTTTTTTTTGGAACATTTTTTGGCCAACACATGCTGCGCGTTTCTGCGATAAACTATAGTACCACTGCAGTGTTTGGAACAAAGACAAAATCGAGAAGTAGGATTTGGACCGAAATCTATCGGATATATGCATTTTGTATACTTCCCGCCCTTTACCTGTGAGATGCTATCAAGATAGACCCATGCAGGTAATAATGTTGGAGTCGTGCTCGGTGTAATATCCGTTCACACATGCATTTTCGTTTAAAAACGCATACTTCCTGATGCTTTTTCGGCTACCGTCCGCACTAAAACGATCGAAAACGCTCGTCGTTTTCACTGAAAATACATGTATTAGAGAACGATGTTCAAAGTGGAGAAATTTCAAAACGGACCCCTATCGTATTAATTCAATACCAGTTGTGGTGCATTTGCACAGCATATCAGCGTTTTCGAGCGTTTTAGTACTGATAGGCGGGGACTGAAAACGCTGCGGTTATAGTGTAAACGTGTCGCACGCACGTACGTAACGTCAAAATGAAATCCTCGATTAAAAACAAATAATTTGTAGTTTGCTGGTGGTTTAAAATATGGCGAAAATTAATAAATTATTTGAAAGCACAGCGTAAAAGAGCATAAAAACAAAACAAAAGACAAAACGCAAAAAAATAAGACAAAAAAAAACCTTATACGTTTTACTGAACATTGCTTTAATTTCCACTCGAAAAAAGTCGAGAAGTCCCATTTCCTTGTATTTTTTAAATATATTGGGCCCAAGTAATCACGGATGACCACCCGTGTTTTTAATGACATTCTAACTCAGATTAATGGAAGTCTTTAATGACAAAAAAATACTTGCATTGAAACTTCAGTGCTTAAGCAGAACATAACGATAAATGTAAATTAAACCGCAAAGAAATTCAAAGAAATGTGCTTAAACCAGGAAAAGCTCTTTGTTACAGGTATATAAATTGCCGGATCATTTTGGTTTTCCTAGCTCTAGCGGATTGACATACAGCCTTGTGATATTCCGATATTGTGGGGAAAGTCCCTCGGTATAGAGTTTTCGGTTTCGTTGAGATGCAAATAACACGAGGTCAGATGACTGAGGGACAAAACCCGCGTTTAAATTTATTTCTTAAACGTAAAGGAATGTACTCAATATGAAGCGAAACACGGTACATCACGAAACGAAGTCGAACGTTCTATATACAGGACCGTGAAACACAACACTACAGCAGCGTAAATATCCTAACTTTTGACGTATCAGGTCCTACAAGGCATGCCGAGGAACAATGACTGGATAGCGTTGAAAATGGAAGGAGTCGAGGCAGTGGCCAAAAAAGCTGGCAAGAGGAAAAGAGCTTTCACACTGCTTCGACAATTGCTTATCAGGTATGAGTGAGTGGCGTGATAAAATGAAGACGTATTTTTGCTCGTAGTACAGCTGACGCCATCATAACTTCATGTTGTGATGCGTAACTGTAAGGTTGGAAATATGAATTGCAGATTAAGTTCTTTATAATACAAGTTGTTCGGTTGCTCCGAATTAGAGAAACGATATGCTGTAATTTTTGTCTAACGCAATGTCCTGCTTTGACAATTGAAGTACGCTCGAATTCTTCGTGTGCATGTATGGATTTTAAAAGATGTTTACGTTTTGACATGACGTCACGGGATTTTCCGAGAAACTGCAGGAGCCTAAAAATTTTTGAAAACGTTCTGTTTGAACACATTCTGTTTTTACGTGTTCGAACATTTAATTTCTGGAAGAATGTTCAATTTTGTAGTTATTGGCCGTGCAACCTGTTCCTGCACAACTGATAAACCAAAAAAAAAAACAAAAGAATTTGACCAAAAAATTCAAGATACGCTGCGCAGTAAATAATTACATATGAACTGTATTTATAAAGTGGTTTGCACTTCATTGAGTGTCGAAAAGTACATTGGACTCGCATGACTACACTATAGAGTGTCTGCATTGTCACGCAATGAAAAACAAAGTCAAAAACCATCCAGTGGATAAAGTCAAGAAATTGTGATATTATAGACGATAAATAAGAAAGACAGTTCTCCAAGTTTAAGGTGTGTGCGTTGTCCCAAAATTGAGATATTCGTCGAAATGTTCCGCGCCGGAAAATAATGTAAACATCTGGAACTTACTTTGGATATCTAGGCAACTGGTTATCTGAACCGAACCAAAAAACATTTACAAAAGCACTTTTCCTAATACTTTAACTCCTAAAATGGCTAAAAATCACGAGAGAAGTGTATATTTTTCGACAAACGCGATCTTAGCTTCATGTCACGCACCGCCATAACTCCGAAATTCGAAATGTTCTGGTTTCCAAACCGAAGGACGCTATTGAGCTGGAAAGTTGTAAACAGATATAAATTTAGTACCTCTTATGCCTGATGAGGATTAAACCTTTAGGGGCTCTTTAGTTTTGGATTTGAGAATTTCATGACGTCACGTGCACACACTCTATTGGCTTAAAAGATGTCGCGCCACTTTTTCATCCAATCAGAAGTAAAACCAAAACCAACTGTAACTCGCTTGCACACGTTTTCCCGCCCTTCGCGCCAGCTGCATGTAATTAGTTAAGTTGGGTACGTAGAGTTATAATCTTGGTTCTGGTTCTACAGCACTTTGAATATTGCTCTAGGCAGAAAACAGAGTGTTACTAGACATAGTAACGCAGTAACGAGTGACGAGAATCGGAGTAACGAGAAAACGAGTAACGGGAGAAAATTTCAGATGGATATAAAGTAAGGGAAGCAAATTTGGCAAGTCGCAAAAAGGTATTTGGCTAAGCTTTTAATTCATGAAACGACCGCCTACTTGTACTTGATGTACTTGTACTTTTACTTCTACGTGTACTTGATACCGCGCCGAAGGAGAGGGTTCCCAATAGCTTTGGCGGGATGCAGGATTTGGCCTTTTTTCGCCGTGATATTTGGGAGTTAAGCTGAAAACAGGGGCGGAAAGCGAGAATTACAATTACGAGCGGGAGCGGGATTTCGTGTTTTTATGGGGTTGGGATGCGGTATTTGCAAGGGGAACAGAGCGGAATACGGGATTTCAATTCTTACGTGACCTTATAAATTGTTATTGACTAGCGCAAAAACCACAAGCTGGCAAGAAACGAACCGCATAGCTGTGTCAGGTTTCAAGTAATGGATAGCAACCGCTCTTTACCCTATCAGGTTCTTTCAAACGTGTCGTCCATTTGCGACATTTTCGATGCTTGCGTCTGTAACCTTGACCTCCCGATCCTTTCTAGTTTTTCTAGTCTTTCGACCTTTTCCAAAGCGCTTGGCTTGTTTTGGCCAGGATGGCCACACCGGATGGCGGTGATAGTGATTTACCGAACGAATTGAAGCATGCGACATTACGAATTGCGTCACCATATATTAGACCATAATACGAAAAGGATGTGCGAGCGGGAATGCCTTCATTCGGAAGGAAAAGTTCTGAGCCTAGTTTTCAAGTAAAGTGAAGACGCTGAAAGCTTTGAAAGAAATTGTCAAGTGTGTTTACGGGCCATCTCTTGAATATGGGAATGAACAATCTTTTTCTTTCACTGATACGTGGACAAAAGGAAAGAAAACAGTAAACCGTTTACAGAAAGAAACGTTATAATCATTTGCGCTTACGTATCTGGTACCCATTGAATTCTTTTGTGATCTTGTATGCAATATCTTGTTTTAAAAAGCTTGTGTCAATGATTAAATTAATTATTAATGTAAAAAATTAATAATTAACCCAGAAACGTCCTGGAAAAGTAGGCGGGAGCGGGATTTCCAGGCAAAAAAGGGCGGGATGGTGGGATTAACAGGAAAAAATGGGCGGGAAAGCGGAATCTGAGAACCCTATTGTGGACCCTCGAAGGAAGGACCCGGATAATATTTTTTTTTCTTTCCAACGCCAAGGTTTTAAAAATTATACGCAAGGCGGCTTAGGTCTAAAACTCTACAATTTAAAAGAGACCCATGACAAGAAAAATAGTGAAGGCGCGATGGCCTCATGGTCAGTGCGCCCGAATCCGGATCGAGCGGTCCAGAGTTATATTGTGTTGTGTTCTGGGCAAGAGACTACTCTCACAGTGCCTTTCTCCTCGTGCACCCGGGTGTACAAACGGGCACCGGCGAATGCTGGGAGTAACCCTGCGATAGATTAGCATCCCATCCAGGGGGTAATAGAAATACTTCTGTGGTCGCTTCATGCTACAGAAACAGGGATAAGCACCGGCGTGATGGGCCACTTGGCTCCTATGCAAACTTAACCTTTACCATGCCCAAGACAATTGTGGCGGATCACCGCTGAGTTTTGATATACAGAAAACATATACCGGATGGATTGGTCGCTTCAGATACTAGCCCGGCTAATTGGACTGCTCATCTCGTCCCCATTTCCTTCGTTATAATTTGTATATGTTCATACGAGAAGACGGTAACAGAGATCTCGGTTTTTGCGACCGCGATCTAGATCATTTTCAGCCCGGAAAAGATGCCTTCACTCTCTCATTAAAGAAGAGGCCCCTTCCTTATGGCGTCGCTTTGTCTTATTTCACGATGTTCTTCACAGAATTAGTAGTCTTTTGTCTTCCGCAGTTAAGTTTGTTACACGAGTTGGCCAGGCTAAGACAGACATGTAAGATAGAACTGTACGTGGCGCCTCCTTGG